CTTCAGTCTTGATGATGCGCATGCCCTGGGATTGGAGCTCCCAACAATGTTCTGGTGTTGTTTCAGGGTGGTCACTTGGGTGATGCAAAGAAGAAACCACAACCCAGTTGCAACTTGTCACTCAACTCCTAGATGTGGGTGGACGAAATCCGGAAAATATCAATAATTTTCACAGTACTTTTGTATAACAAGATATATATATATATATACTTTATATTTGTGAATCTCTACAATCTCTGCCATATTCCCCTTCCTGGGCTAACAAAACTCAGAAAAGCACCCTTTGCCTCCCTCTGCCCCACTCAATCGCCACCTTCCTATGCGAAGTTTGGCAAGCCAAGCCTGGTGCCGATCATGAAAGGAGCTGAAACAAATCCCAACAGCTCGTAAATGATCTTTTGGTTGCATCGATTTTTCCTACAGCTCATCTTGTTCTTTTGGTTGCATCGACGCACGGAGAACCACACGGACCAACGACTTTGGGAGTGTTCTGTTTCCACAGGCTCGATTGGTCTAGGTTTCTTTACTTCTCTCAAACAAGCATCAGGAATTTTCAGAGGGAGAAGGACCCTGGAAGTTGGCCCTGGAAGTTGGCCCTGCTCCGTTATTGTGAGGTCACCACAGCCCTGCTCCGTTCTGCTCCTTTGGATCGTGGCAACTTGGCAACCTACAAATGGTCAAGTTTTTCCCGGAAGGTTTTCGTATTTCAACTTACTGAGGAGGCCCAAATTTGGACCTCTTAAACGCTGGAGGTTGGTGGTTGGTGGTCAGGCCGATGTCCCGACCATGCGGTTGGCGTGCTGCTACAATGACAAACATTGACAAACCTGATATCTCTAACCTGCTCTAGTCACTAGTCAGAAGTGCCCTGTAGTCTGAGATGACCGTCAATATCTCCACACAAGATTTTGAACATACGCTTCAAACGCTCACCGACAAAAACAGCCGACCTTTCTTGGGGCGAGGCCGAACTGTTCAGTATGTCGCATCTGATGTTTGCGAAAGATGCAGGGAATCCAAGCGATTTTGCATAACTCCTTTCATCTGAAGAAATAATCATCACCGTGTCCGATAGAAAAAAAAAGGATGAAAAAGAAGAACCGCCAGGAAATCAATGGACAACAACATCTGTCCTTGGTCTTCAGTGATTTATTGGTCACCCAAATGCATGAGACTAAAGCATCTCTCCAACTGCCCATGGCTGGGGTGACTCCCCTGGCCTTCTTGACAACATCAAACTGCAAAGCTGGCAAAGCTCCCTCCTTGCAACAATCACACACACGGTCTATCGAACAACAATATGATGAGCAAGCACTAGCAAGAGAGATCTTCAACCATTGATCACAGGTAGGTTTTTGCAATTCCAGCTGTCTCCACAGGATCTGCCTGAGGTGCACAAGCCCATCGGCCGCAAGCGGAACCACCATGGCAGGACGGTCACACGAGGTCTCTCCCTGAATTTGAGGAAGGTGAACCTCTTCAAAAATGATAGCAACTGCCGAACCAAGCAGAGCTTGAACCAAGCAACAAGTTTGTTGAAGTCACGCGACTGGCGGGAAACAGTTCTTATGTTCACGGCCCGGGTGCTGCCAGCTGCGCCCACAGGCTATGGCGGTTATGATTACATAGGATTATTTCAAAATACATCGAAACGTCGTCCTGCAGCTCTACATTGGCAACCTGCAAGAAGTGGGAGCTTCATTCATCGGTTTCGGGAGATTTCTGTAGTGATACAAACTCATTCATGAACCCATATATTATAGCTTACACTTACACATTGGCACCCATAGCTTTCGGCTCCGGTCCAGGACAATCTACGAAAGAGCATCTTGGTTCCAAATCCTATAGGAACTCATGGTGGTGAATTACGACTTTGTTTTCCTCTTGGGTCACTTCCATATACTTCCATAACAGATCGGTCAAACTGCCTTGAATCCACAAAGGGACATCTGAACACAACTTCTTCAATGACCTCCACTTGCAACACCGTTCTCAGGATGTAACCTGAACAGCCAGGTCACAAGGGACGCACTGCCGGGAGACGATTACAGCAATCCATTCCGCAAAGGTCGACCCTTTGGCATTCTGATGCCCCTCTCTCTCTACGTATCATTAGCCTCTTTTCTTTGGATCTAGAGCAACTCGACGTGCAGAATGACTTGGATGTACTAAACCAGTCTCCCAGTCTCCCAATGACGCAGGCCATGTTCGATGCCTTCAGGGCCTCCAGCACCTCCTTTGGAGGTGCACGTCTCACAGCCAAGCGATTACGGCGCTTGAAACCTGTCCTTCGCTGAGAAGTCAACTCAAAGTTGGCAATTAACCTAGGGTTCCTTGAGTTTAAACTATGTCGCCAAGGTCCAACAATTTCCTAAGCTGTATAACTATAGATATTATTATGATTAGAGATGTTAAGTGTCATTCTTCCCTGCGCGTGAGGGTTGTACCTAAGCTGTTGTCTAGATGTGGGAGTGATAATTAGACATTCACTGTTGGAACAAGTCGTTCTCCCTACTTCTTGTTAGACAAACACATACAGAACATTTAATGTCTTGGAATCCAACATGGTGCTAACATGTGCTAACAATTCAAAACAGCTTGCAGCTTACATTGCCCTTGACTGTGAACCTCAGCCAGCTTGCTCAGCCCGTCTTGCAGCTGTTGTGGACGAAAACCCTGTCTACATTCTACATATTATGTTTCTCCTGTCAAGTGTCTCAAAGGTCTGGGACTCCCACAACATGTGCGTCACCAGTTCTCCTGGCACTGGGAGGATTCCCTTTTCACGGCCATATGAATTCTCTCTCTCTTTCACATCTGAGTACTCTGCTATAGTGGCAAGCTAGTTTCGTGGGCCACACAAATGGGACACATCCACACAACTAGCTAGTCACAGAACATGCTCGAAACTCGAAACTCAAGTGGGAGAATAAAAAGTACTCTGTCATGCTGGATGCTAAACCGAATGGTACCCTGCACATCTCCGCAGCAAAGGGATGAAGCGTTCTCGGGCCCGAGGGCCATGCGACATGAAAATGGAGCGAAGCTGTACCTCTACAAAGAAGCACACTCCGTGTGCATTTGGTGACGATATAATAGCCGCCGAGACACACCCCAACTCCGAAAAAAGACCTAAAACTCAAAAAGATATGGAGTGTGAATGTCCCATTGTGGGGGCTTCGTTGTGTGTGCAAATTCACGAAGTCTCACAATGAGCAAATCACTGGAGACATCTTCGGGCCACCACAACAAGACTTCTTCGGACTCACCAGTACGCTGCCGCAACTGTGCAGCGAGAAGAAGAACGCTTCAGCCGATGTCCGCTGCTGGAGCTCGGCGATTCCTCCAGCGAGATCGGCAAGGACAAAAAGTACGTCCCACGTCCAACACCAGTGAAATGGCCTGATTCAAAGGCACCGATAGGATCCTAATAAAGCAGGTTACTGTATATGATAATATCTGTATGTGTGTTCATGTATGGGGGGTTGTTTGTGACCTTTCAGCATGTGTGCTCCACGGCTGAGCTTCTAGTCCCTTCATCTCCCGAAACTCGGCTGTACAGCTCCAGCCTCAAGCCGTCCCTCTCATGGCCTCAGCACTGGAGCTCAAACAAAGAAAATAAGCTACAGACTCCTGTTGCGGGGCAATACTCCCAATTCAGCAAAAAGACACGCACAGCTGCATTCTGAATCGAGTCTAGCAATTAGATCTCTTCACTCTCGACGCACGACGAGAAGGCTGCGCCCGGCTGCGCCTGTTGGACCCACTTGTTGGCCTTAAACTTCACCTGCCTCACGGAGTCAATTCTATGAGGTTTCATCCATTCTAGGGTGGAGGCCACCGCTACTAGGATTACTAGGGTGGAGGCCACCGCTACCAGGGTGGAGGCCATCGCTACTAGGGAGGTCATCGCTTCTAGGTCGAGGCCACTACTACTAGTAGCAAGGACGCTATGAGGGTGGAGGCCATCGCTTGTAGGTTGGAGGTCATCGGATCTAGGTTGGAGATGTTGGAGGCCATCGCTACTAGGGTGGAGGCCATCGCTTCTAGGGTGGAGGCCATCGCTTCTAGG